TATACCATTTGTCTTTTCCTTTGTATATTTTTTGTTGCCTTGTACATTCTTTCTTTTAGGCTTACTATATCTTATAGCTCTCCAAGTATGACATGCCTTCAGCTGAGTGTTATTGTAAACAATGGCAGACTTGCTTCATTGTATTTTGACCTTTTGGGTTATTTCATAGCAGTATTTGGAAATTCTATTTGATCTGTGAATAGATTTACTATTTCCCATATTCTACATTTTTCTTATTTATTCTCACTACCTTAATGGATACTTATTTACAATTGAAATAATTTACCTCTTTTCCTCTGTATTTCCTTCTCTAGTCCACTATTTTTGTTTTATCAGCATCATTCTACTTTTATAAATAATGTTCCTTATTTCAAATTGATCTGCAAGTGGCCCTTCATATTTACACATTCTGTATCCATGGATTTAACCAACCATGACTCAAAAATATTCCATGTGGATGCTACTGGGCCTGTAGTGGAAGTCACAGTTGGCAGACCTATTATCAGGGGCTCAGGTAAGTGTGGGTCTTGCCTGGTCTTGGGTGGGCGTTAATGTCTCTAGGACCTTGATCAGTAAGTCCAACACTGGGACAGGTATACTTCAGGCTTCAAAGTTGACCCTACATGTCACAGGCCTATTCTCAGGGGCATGGGTAGTTGTGGCTCCTGGTGGTTGTCTAGGTGGGCAGATCTGGATGTGGACTTCAGCTGAGTGGGTCTGGAACTGAATCATAGGGCTCCATCAGGGTCCACTCCCAGGACTGAGATTAGTGGGTACACCTATGGGAACAAAAAGAGCTATGGCATCAGGCTCCTGGGATAAATAGGGCTACTCTTCAGCTGTGGCTGGAAAGGCTGGAACCAGGTAACTTCAGGATCTATGTTTCAAATGAGGCCATTGGGCTGCCCTCTAGGACTACTGACAGTGTGTTTCACGTTGGGCTCATAGGCAGACATAACTGCTCCTGGACTCAGATGTGTGTGCTGGAGCCAAGTTACAAGTCTGCTGGAGAGTCCACAAGCAGGACTAACATTGGTAGTTATTACCCAAACACAGTAGTTATGGCTCCTCCCAGGTTTCTTTTGAATGAACCTTGTGGCAGGACAAAAATCAAATAATTATAAGCAGAATTCATTGCAAAATGAGCTCTTTCAAAGTCTGTAGCCAGAACCCAGATCTGTGAACCTACCACCTGAGTGGGGCCTTGCTGTTTCAGAATGGCTCTCCTTGGTCTCCGGCTCCACTGGGGTCCTTGACCTTTAATGTGGATATCAAAGCTCCTTTCCCAAAAGACTTTTGTTCACAGATGCTGCCTAATTATTGCTGATGTTGCAGATGACACAGAGGGACTTCCTGTTTCATCATTTTTTCAAGTTCATGCTACACTTTTTTATACTGTCACCATTAATACGTTTGGGTATAAATTTGAGCTGTGTTTTCTACTATGTCTTGTTTTCTATTGTTTTATTTTCCCTAGCTAATTTTTTATTAATCATTTTTAAATTATTTCAGCTCAACTTTCTTTCCTATCGCTCCCCCCTACTTTGGCCTAAGTGTGCTTATAGACAGAAAGATCTAGATACATCTAACCACCTACCTATTTATCATCTGTTAAAAGGTATCATGATTAATTTTCTTTTGTCCACTTTCCCTTTCTCTCAATACCTAATGCAAGACTTATTATCTTTTAACCTGATATAGCAAAATATAACTTATGGAACATAAATAGTTTTAAGAAGAAAGTAGGGAACCAGTAGTTAGCGTAATGGCTATGTCGCTGGACTCCCACGTAGTCGACCGCGGTTCGCGTCCCAGACCCGGTGGCTTAAAACTCACGCCAGGCACGTGTGCGTGCGTGCCCATGATCCCGAGAGGAGAATGGAGGAGAAGGGATTGCGGCATGACCATTCCCCCTGGGGGGTGATTTCTCGCTTTCTGTCTCTATGTCTCTCTCTGTCTGTCTGGCGAGCGAACGCGCCCTATAGCGAAAAAATCTCTCTCAAAAAAAAAAAAAAAAGAAGAAAGTATACAGAAATAGGGGAAGGTTTATGTCTTCCTTTGGGAGAGAGTTTGCAAGTTTCTATTGTCGGAGAGATATTAATAATTACATTATGTTATATGGAAGCATAAGAATGAGAGAAGTATTCATGTATACAAATCTGATTTTAAAAAGAGGGACACTGTTATGAATTGAATTTATGAAAATAGTTTTTCTTTTTTCATCTAGGGTGAGAGAAATTTCAATTTGTCAACTTGACACTGCGTCTTGTCTAAGAATAAAAGCCGTGCTTTTGAGAGAAACCCTCCATAAATTTTTTAGGAAAAATTGGCTGTAAGAAGTCCTATGTGAGTTTGAGAAGTATGGAATGAGACAAAGACCTTTATAATCTTTTTGATATCAAGTCACTGACTATGTGACAGACACATAAGCTCAGCAGGCTCCAGCTTCCAGTTTGATAGATCAACAATGATCCAGCCAAGCACTGTGCATTTGGCAGTAGTTGCTTCAGATCTGGCAGCTCCTGACACATTTCCATGAGTCACCTCTTTAGATGTCAGCCTTGATGACCAGATGTACATGAATTTAGAATTTTCCAACGTTCCTTCCTGCCTAACCAGATAATATTACAGTGAGTTTTCATGAGTGATTTTTTTCTTTTCTTCTGATAGTCTTTTCTAGATTTTCACTGAAGTCTCTTCCACAATTTTGTAAATGTTAACTTCAGAGAGATTCCATTTATTTAAAAAGTTTCTGGTCACAGTAATTATTTGACTGATAGCCACAAATATAGTATTATCTTAATTATTTTCCATGCCCTGCATTCTTATTCTACCTCTGGACATCTAGTTGCTCTGTTTTGACCTGTCTTTCTCATGTCTTGTTTTTGTTTGATTTGGTTTGGTTTTTAGATTTTTCTTGCCATATGGCATGTGCAACCACCAGAGAAAATCAGAGGAAAGAAGAAAGTGATAAATCACTCCCCAAGGGGGATGACCATGCCGTTCTTCTCTTCTCCTCTTGCGATTTTGGGCACACATGCACATGCACCCAGCATGTTTTTCAGGCCACCAAGTCAGGGAATTGAATCCATAGATATGGTCATGTGAGATCTAGCAATTTAACACCACAGCACTTGCTGGCACTTTCTCAAAATTTTAAGTGATTTTTCCATCTGAATTTCTGTGTGATTCTTTTATTAAATGCCTAAAGTATTGTGCATTGAGCACTGAAGATTCAGATGGTGTATTTTCCACAATGTGTTATTTACTTTTTCCTCTACTAGTGCTAGAGTGGGGTCTAACATCATTTATCCAATCATAAGCTATGCAGAAATGAGGTTTCTTATATTCATCAGGGAACCTGAGTTTTATCCAGGGTATCTCACCCTGGGCCAAAAGAAAACTACATGAATATCTAAGAGAATTCAGAGAATTGAGCTGGATGATAAAATTAGGAGAGTGTGGTTTCCTAAAGAAAGTGGAAAAGAGGACTAAAAAAGAGACTCTTGCAAATATCAAGGCATAAGGGTGGCCAGTCCTTCATGAAATTGGACAAGAAGTGAATGATCAAAGAGCTTGAACTTGAATCTGAAATTTTCATGCCATGTTATTGTCATTTCCAAACACGAGACTTTGGTTAACCATTATCCACCATATCAAGTAAGTAGCACAACTGCAAACAATAAAGCAGATTATAATTCAAACTAATAAAACAGACTATAAAGTTGTTAAAAGAGGGGCTAGCAGTTGGTGTGGTGGTTAAGGGAGCTGGATAACCACATGGCTGACCACAGTTCAAGTCCCAGAGCTGGTAGTTTTCTCTCTCTCTCTCTCATTGAATTAATAAATAGATAAATAAAGTTAAATTTTAAAAAGTTACTAGAAGAGACAAATGAGAAATGGAAGAATAATACTCTGACATCTTAGATATTCAATAATACTTTGGACATTCCTCCCTTTTGCTTGACAATAAGAATATCTTCATTGTGGTTGAGGTGGATATCAGAGTATGGGTTGTAGTGAAGTCAGAGAATATAGACAATAAAGACAATCTAGAATACAGAGAACAACAAATACAGAACACAGAAAATACAGGTTAGTGAGTTCAGAATTCTTCTCTAGACTTTGTCAGTATGAAGAAGACTTACGGAGAATTCACTGCAAGTCTATTTGGCAAAGATGATGTTTTAGGTGATTAAAAAAAAAACTATATGAGTGGTAGAATAAGTTTCCAAGTGAATGATGTAGTATACAACTCTGACTCCAATAAATATAGTTTAGAGATTAACTTTATGAATTGGAATGTCAACCTTAATGAATATCATTCCTATTTTATTCTGTTTATGAAAGTACTGATTTTATTTGTATGGCAAGCATAGAAAAGTGTTCAGACCCAAATGTAGATTTGGTATATATTTTAGTAAGCAAGACACATGAACTCTTTGAAAACTAGGTTTATCCGTGATTAGATAAGAGACATTTAGGACCTGAAAAATCACAGGAGGCAAGAAGATCCACCTAAGAAATTGTTGCTTTACTTTTTTAATTTTTAATTTTTAAAATTTATTTTATACATTCAATCACAATATGTCACTGCAGCATGTAAAATGAATATGGAAAAATATAGCATTAGAGATAAAATTAAATACAATAGTCTAAAGGAAAAAACTTTATGACATGCAAATCTTTTTTTTTAGGACAAAGATACACTAAAATGTATACAGAAAAATGCAGAGTGCTAACACTTGAATGTCAGCTTTCTTCATAATGTCACCTTTCATACTCTAAGGTTCTCAAGAGTCCCTAGAATCCAGTTATGAAATTGCCACAGCGGGGCCTGAAATACAGGAGAGTGGAGTGTTTCAGCAACCTTCTGTCATACTGAACTGTCAAGCTTCTATTCTGCCATAGGCGCCATTATTTATAATTTCACAATAAAATCTATAAGTTTTGTTGGATACTGCCTTATTTATTAAAACCTATAAACAGCCATTAAGATAATGTTTCCAAGTGATGAAGTTTTTGGGTTTCTTCTCATATCTCAAGTCTGTATTGGGGTCGTAGGGAACTCAACACTTTTCCTGTCATGTATGTACACTTCCTTGATTCGACCTCATCTAAACAAGTGCCTAGATCTGATTTTCATGCACTTGACATTGGCCAATGTTTTGAATATCTTGTTCAAACTGATACCAGATATCGCATCATCCTTTGGAGTAAGGCATTTTATGGGCGATGCCGGTTGTAAAGCAGTTTTGTACATATTCAGAGTTGCCCGGGGTCTTACTATCTGTACCACCTCTCTCCTGAGTGCATTTCAAGCCATCACTATCAGTCCCAGTAATTCTAAATGTGCACAATTTAAATCTAAACCCTCTACGTGGATTTTATCTTCTATTTTTTTCTTCTGGGTCATCAATGTGGTGGTCTATATCCACATAATCCTGAATCTAGAAGCCAATCACAATTTCACTGCTTTTAGTCTTGGCTATTCTCATCCATACTGTCACACTAAGAAGGTTAAAAACCACTACCCAGGGTCATATGCAAGTGTCTTGGTGATTCGAGATGTGCTCTTTGTGGCTCCTATGATCTGGACCAGCATCTACATGGTGAATCTGCTCTACAGACACCATAGGAGAGCCCAGCACCTTCACAGCCCCAGCCTCTCTGCCCAGCCATCTCCTGAAAACAAAGCCACCCACATTATCCTTTTGCTGGTAAGTTGCTTTGTGTTCTTCTATTGCTCAGACAACTTTGTAAGCCTTTTTTTCTATTATATATCTCCTAAAACCCCAAGACTGGAGAAGATTGCTGGAGTTATTTCCTCATGTTACCCAACCATCTGCCCTTTTCTGCTGATGAAAAATAATAAAATTATTTCCAAATATATTTCTTCCCTTTCGAAGTTTAGGTTTACCTTTTTTAGAAGGAGTACTTAATAGTTGATTCATACAGCTTTTTCTCACAACATAGAAATCTCCATAAAGATTTATATGAGCAAAAAAATGCCATATGTCTAATGAGTACTAAACAGGGCTGGTATGAATTAAGATATGCTGTAAATTTTAATAAACAAGAATTTATAATCTTACATTGAATGTATATCTAGATAAAAAATCGATAATTTTCATATTTATTATATGTTTAAATTGTAATATTTAAATATTTTATGTGTTACATGAAATGCATTATAAATGTATTAATAAAAATCATTTTACCAAGGAGTAGCATTACTGGGTCATATGTAGTCCTATTTGTCAATTCTTAAGGAAACTATATGTTTTCCACAGTGGCTGTACTAATTTACATTGCCACCAACAGCATAAATGGATTCCTTTTTAACCACAGCCTCACCAGCCTTGTTCCTTATTTTTTTTAAGAATTGTATTATTTAACTTTATTTATTTATTCATTTTTAATTTGACCAGAGAGGGACAGAGTGAGAGAGAGAGAGGGAAAGTGAGAAAGCAAGCAGCCAGGTTTGAGACTCAAACAGTAGTTGGCTAAGTGGGAGTCCAGCGCTTTAACCACCATGATACCTGCTGGCCCAAGTTTGCTTATTATTATTATAAGACAGAGAGAGAGAGAGGGAAAGTGAGAAAGCAAGCAGCCAGGTTTGAGACTCAAATCATGATCAGCCATGTGAGAATCCAGCGTCCTCAACAACCACGCTCCCTGCTGGTCCCTGTTCCTTATTTTTTTATCATGGCCATTCTGACTGGGGTTAAGTGGTGTCTCATTATGGTTTTTATTTGCTTGTGATAAGAGATATTAAACATTTTTATATACATTTTGGCCATTTGTCTGTCTTCCCCAGAGAGTTGTCTGTATAGCTGTTCAATGGTTGTAAATAACAAGCCATCAAAATTTTTAGAGATTTTTGCCATACTGCATGTGTGCCCACCAAAGAGAGAGAGACAGAGATAGTGAGAGGAAAGGTGAGAAATCAGCCAGTATGGGGATGGCCACACCACAATCCCTTTTCTTCTATTCTCCTCCTAGGATCCTAGGTATACATGCACATGTACTCAATGTGATTTTCTTTTTTTTTCCCCTTTAATTTTTCAAATTCAATTTTTTTTATACATTCAATCACATGTTACTTAGCTTGTAATAGTTATGAATGCCCAATGTGATTTTCAAGCCACCCGGTCTGAGACTTGAACCACAGCCATCCATGTGGGAGTCAAGCAACCTAACCACTATGCAATATGCTGACCTCAGTCATCAAATATTTTAAGAGCTAAAAAAAAAATGTGCTTGAATTTGCGCTTTATTTCAGTGTGGTCTCTAAAAAATTTAAAATTGTATTTAGTGTTTGCATTATATCAATATTTTTTTCTTTTTTTTTAGATGCCAGATGGTATGTTTTCATGCCAGAGAGAGACAGAGAGAGAAAAGAGCAAGAAAGCACCCCCCAGTGGGGCATCACAATCTATTCTTCTCTATTTCTCCATCTTGTTGTGTTTGGGACATACACTCACACATACTCTTTGTGTGTTTTACAAAAGCTGCTAGGGCCAGAATTCCAACCATGGTCAACTTTCTGTGATCTGGCTTTCTTACGTACCAAGCTATAGGACCAGTTCTGCATTATAATTCTTTTAAACTTTGCTGTTCTCAGGAAATTTACTTATGTATTAAACACAAGCATATTTCACACCGCGCATATTCCAGGCAACCCTTTAAGAAATGCATCACCACCAAAACAGACAAAGCACAATATCTAAAGGGTTATATGAAATGTTCACAAGAAGGGAGGACTCTAAGTACTTGTGATGAGTGTTCCAAGGCAGGTTAGGGGAACTAGGAGTTCTGGGAGTTTCACTCCTAAATGCTCAATAAAATGAAATGTGTGTTTCTCAGTGTTTGTGTAAATCTATCCATAATAATAACCTCATCCATGTCATGCTGATGTATTTGTAATTTTAGACTTAATCTGTTATGAAAATTTCAATTAAACATGTCTCTTCACTTTCATTGATTCTCTTTTTCTGATGCTGCTATATTTTATTTTAAAATATTTCACATAACAATACAAATAGAATTTGAATGTTATAGTCAAAACTTAACAACTGGGATTCTTTTAATAATGCTTCATATTAAGTATCTAAATATAGCAAAATAAAACATGATTTAGTCAACATTCTCTGAATTTTTCTATTGTGTGGCTTTTATTAGCATGACATAAAGTCTTAAGTGTAGGCTCTAGGGCAATTGTCTTATTAGAGATATAGCTTTTCTTTGTGACTTTTATATTTTAGATAGTTTCTTTTTGTCACATTTTTAAAATTTCATTTATTTTATACATTCAACCCCATTATTTAGCTTACAAAATGAATATTTCAACAGGTGAACATTTCTCCCTAGTACAGTTGATAAAGCTATAAAATGTCTTTAACAGTTAATACCACATTTCTATGTCCCATTAATGGTTTGCCTCCATAGTTTTCTTCTAAATGTCCTTCCTCAGACCCTCCTCTTTCACACACACTGTCTGGTATTTACATCCATATACTGTGTTTCTATATCCTTTAGTCAATCAATTTCAGTCACAGAGTGTGGACACTCAGCATATATTAAGTGGGGACATACAATGTCTCTCCTTCATAGCCTGGCTTGCTTCACTCAGCAGTAAATCTTCCATATTCATCCACTTTCTGTCAAAATCCAGGGTCTTGTCATTTTTTATGGCTGAGTAATATTCCACAGAGTATATGTGCCACACTTTTTTAATCCATTCATCTGTTCATGGTCACTTGGGTTGGTTCCATGTCTTAGCAATTGTGAATAATGCCGAAATAAGCATCAATGTGCAAGCACTTTTCTGATGAAGAATTCTTCTGTCCCTTGGGTAGATACCAAGGAGTGGGATTGTTGGATGATATAGTAGTTTCTATTTGTAGATTTTTTGAGGAATCTCCAAATTGTTTTTCACAGTGGCTGGACCAATTTACATTCCCACCAGCAATGTAAGAGAGTTTACCTTTCACCACACCCTCAAAAGCACTTATCATTTTTTCTTTTATTAATCTTAGTCATTCTGAATGGGGTTAGGTGGTATCTCATTGTAGTTTTAATCTGTATCTCCCTTACAATGAGGGATGTTGAGCATTTTTTCATATGTCTTTTGGCTATTCATATGTCTTCCTTAGAGAGTGGTTTTTTCAACTCAGAGAGATTTTCACTGTAGGGCGTGTGCGCTTGCCAGACAGACAGAGAGAGACATAGAGACAGAAAGCGAGAAATCACCCCCCAGAGGGGATGGTCACGCCACAATCCCTTCTCCTCCATTCTCCTCTCGGGATCTTGGGCACGCACGCACATGTGCCCGGCGTGAGTTTTAAGCCACCGGGTCCGGGACACGAACTGCAGTCGACTACGTGGGAATCCAGCGACATAGCCATTACGCTAACTGCTGGTTCCCATTCTCCCATCTTTTAAAAGGATTGATCATCTTTTTTCAGGACAGCTGTTTGAATTCCTTGTGTATTCTAGATATCAGTCCCTTATCTGACATATAGTTTACAAAAACATTTTCCCATTCTGAGGGTTGTCATTTCGCACTAATTACTGTGTCGTTTGCCATTCAGAAACTTCTTAATCTGATGAAGCTTGCCTTGTGCCCTATCATGTGGTCAATCTTTGAAAAGGTTCTATGTGGGGGTGAGAAAAAAGTATACCTCATGGTTTTCGAGTGGAAAGATCTATTGATGTCTGTTAAGTTCATTTGACTTATGATATCATTTAGATCTTACATCTCTTTACCTGTTTTTTGTCTAGATGATCTGTCCAAAGGAGATAAAAGGGTGTTGAGGTCTCCAACAATTAGTGTGTTGCATTCCATCTCTCCTTTTCGATCTAACAGTCTTTCCTTCACATGTTTGGGTGCTCCTGTGTTAGGTGCATAGATATTTATGAGCATTATATCTTCTTGATGGATTAACCCTTTTACTACAATATAGTTCCCTTCTTTGTCTCTTTGAACAATTTTTGTTTTAAAGCCTATTTTGTCAGTATTGCAACTTTGGCTCTTTTTTGGTTCCCATTTGCATGAATAACTTTTTCCAGCCCTTCACTTTTAGTCTATGTATATCTTTATCTAAAAGGTACATTTCTTGTAGGCAACAGATAGAGGGTTTCTTTTTTTTATCCATTCGGCCAATCTGTGTCTCTTGATTGGAGAATTTAATCCATTAACATTCAGTACTATCAGTATTTCCAGACTTGTCCCTACATTTAAGTTGACCATTGTCTTGGCTCTCTTTTATTCCTTTATTTCTGGCTTTTCATTCTTTAAGTTTCCTGGAACAGTACTTTCTTCAGAGTTTCTTGAATAGCTGGTCTGGTGTTGGCAAATTCTTTTAGGTTTTCTTTGAGAAGATTTTATCTTTTTATCCCATATGAAGGATAATCTTGCAGGATATAATAATCTTGGTTGAAATTGTTTCTTTCTTAATGCTTTCAATATGTCTTCCCATTCTTTCCTTGCTTGCATTGTTTCCGTTGAAAGGTCCAGTGTTAGCCTAATGGAATGACCTTGGTAAGTCACTTGTCATTTCTCTCTTACCAGTTTCAGTATCTTGTCTTTATCTGTGGTGTTGGCCAGTCTGGCTAAAATGTGCCTTGGGGAAGATCTTCTTAGGCTGATTCTTTTCTTTTTTTTAGGCTGATTCTTTTTGGGGTCCTTTGTATTTCTTCGGTCTGGATGTTTGAGTGCTTCTCTAGACTTGGGAGTTTTCTTCCAGGATTTCATGGAATAAATTTTAAATGCCCTAATTAGTTTTTTCACCTTCTGGGATACCAATTATTTGGATGTTTGAATGTTTAATGGAATCTAGTATTTCTCGGATATTATCCTCATGTTTTTTGTTTGTTTGTTTTTTGTCATCTCTATCTCTTTGGTAATATTTTTCTAAGTCAGAGGTTTTATCTTCTA